CTCCTGTTTGTTTTTGCTGCAACAGCCGAACCCTCAGGAATCCTTGTAGGTAATGAATTGTTTCTCCATATCACAGATGGGAAACTGTCAATGCAAAGCAACGATTTGCCAAGTGCAGGCCAGGTGTGTGTGTGTGCATGTGGATGATGTGGGACTGGGAGGGTTGTGAAGTTACATCCCAAATCTGGTACTGATGCAGCTGCTCTGCTGTGCTTCCAGCTTCTTAATTATCTGAAAGTAGCACGCTACTTCAGTTAAAAAGAATAAATTATACACCTTTTGACAAAAGTTCTCAGAGGACTGTGGCAGTTTTTATACGTTGTTATTCTGCCGTCTTCTCTGTTACCATCCAGTACTCTCAGTCAGACGCAGGCAACCTTTTTAGCCTGGACCAACTCCCTTGCAATGTCTGCCTGTGAAGATGTTGGTGTGCTGGCAATCAAAAGGAGTGGGGGAGATGAGAACTGTACTTGGCCAGACAGACAGGAAGCAAGCTCAGCCCCAGGTGTGCTTTCCAGAATCTCAAGGGCTTGTCTTAGTTCCCAGGGTGGAGAACCATCTCTACCTGCTGAGCAAATGGGCTGTTGCACCACTGTGCATACTGTGGGTTGCCTGTTCCTGCTGTAGCTGGTACACCATCCTGACTTTCAATAGGTAGTTCCCTTGTTACTCCATCCCAGGCCAAAGGGCAATCGGGATGATGTCTCTCTGCTAAATAAAGGTGCTGCTTGCAATTGAAGCCATTCTATGTTTTTCTCCTCCATTTTGTCATGAAATCATTGTGTGAAGCATCCATGGCATGGGCACCCACATGCAGGCATCTTTCCAGATCTACTCAAATGATGCTTTACTTTGTCTTTTCTGGAGCAGGTTCATGCCTGTGCCGTCTTCTGTGCATGGAGGATGCCGGAAAAGAGCAATGGCTTGAAGACGTCCCCTGGCCAACTGTCTCTGAAAACTGTCACTGCCAGAAAAGAGCGGAATAATTTGAGCAGGTGATGTGCTCTTGGGTTTCTGGCAAGGGACCAGCTCACAAAACCCCTCGGTCAGAGAGGCACACGAGCTTTGGGGAGGCTAGAAATTAATCGCTGAGGTATTGAGGAGGCTCTGTCACCTCTCACCTCTCCAGTCTGCAGGAGGCCAGTGAATGTGGACTGGAGTTTTCTTTCCGTGTGGTTGACGCTTAAAGTCTGCTTGGAAACCACATGACACCTGCTGGCTTTGTTGACTGGAGGCTTCTCCTAGAGGCGCAGATGCGGGGGTGGTGGGTATTTGGTTGCTTACTGGTAAGGATGTTGCACATGCTTATAAATACGGTCAATGGAATCATATAGGAGGACAGTTTGTGTAAAGAAAGGGGAAACCTTGCTGAGACCACCGGGAAAGGTCAAGAGCAAACAGTCATTTACATTGAGGGTGCAGGATAGGGAGTCCCCTTCCAACCCTCCTTTTGTGTGTTAGACCACAAGATTGTGAGGAGGACAACTTAAAATGTCCGCTTGACTTGTAGGGCATCCAATCATTTGTAGCAGTGATTGCCAACGTGGCACCTGAGGGAGCCTTGGCACTCACCACTGTGTTTCCCTGAGCCCGCTTGCGTGACTCTTGGGGACAAGGCCAAAGGGTCTTGGGCAGAACAGAAAAATATAGGAAGCTTCAGATCACTCCCCACCAGCTGACTGACCAGCAAAGCACTGGACTTGCCCCGCCAGATGTGTCTGAGCCATGCGGTGGCAGATTGGCTAAGGGCACTGAAAGACTGGGTGTCAGGACCTGCCCTGGCCTAGGCTCATCTGGGGAGGAGAAGGAGAAGTCTCTTCAAGGGCTCCAGAGCCCCTGTGGTCCCATTTATACTGAGGCTCCCTGCACTTCGCAGCTGCCTTCTTAACCACAGCAGGCTTCAAGAGCTGGTGGAACAAGCAGACCAGGGACATCCTGAGTGGACCCATTGATCTACAGCATCCCCAAAGTGACCCCCAGAAATAAAGAAACCAGGCTTGGAGCCTGGACCAAGTGAGGCAGCACACACCTGGTGGCTCAGACATCCCTTACTCGAGTCTCATGCAGGAGGGGAGCACCAGTTTCTAGATTGTTGCCAGATCCAGGAGCCAAGTCTGGCCACGGAAAAGAGTGGGGTCATCAGCTCCTTGTATAAGCCTTCAGTTGATCTCTACCCACTGCTGGTTCAACAGCTCTCCAGCTTTGGGACAAACTATATGTCGTATAAGTGCCATGGGAACTTGCAGCCATATAGCAGCTGTGAGTCCCCATTGGCAATTCCTGTGGAAAAATGCAACAGGGGCCAAATTCAGATTGGGACTGTGGTACAGGAGAAGAAAGGGCTCTTGTCTTACCCCATGCCATTTTTGGGAGCTGAAACAGTTCAAGGATCATGGGGGTGGACATCATTTGTCCTGTCAGGATGTTGCACATATCTGAATGCTTGCTTTTGAAAATCATAAAGAGGGGGGGGAAGGCAGGAACCTCTCCTACCCTGGGCTACAGTGCCAATCTGAGCTGGCCCCCTGCTGTGCTTTTACACAGGAGTTGCCACTGCAATATGGCTGCCAGTCCCCTTTGGCAGCTTGTGTAAAGTATAATCTGGCCCTTAGCTTGGACTGGTCCTGGTAGCTCCTCGCAGGAGACTCCTACACCAGTGGTGGGCTCAGTCCTGGTCTGGTCTCAGGTGCCCACTGTTGAGCCTGTGCCTCTCCCCTTGCTTGCCCAGGTACAGAATAGGATGCTCTGTGCCTGGGCTGGGAAATGGCCTCCAGCAGGTGTGCAGGAAGCAAATCCTCCCCTTTGGAAACTGAAACCAAATAGTGTTTCTCTTCCAAAGCAAAGAGTTGGTCCTGGCTGTCCTGTGCGTCCATATAATAATAATGATAATGATAATGATAATAATAATAGACTGGATTTATACCCCACCCTTCACTTGGTGTCTCAGAGTGGCTTACAAACTCCTTTCCCTTCCCCTCCCCAGAACAGACACCCTGTGAGGTAGGTGGGGCTGAGAGAGCTCTGACAGAAACTGCTCTTTTTCAAGAACAGCTCTTATCAGAACTACGGCTTGCTCAAGGTCACCCAGCAGCTGCAAGTGGAGGAGTGGGGAATCAACCCCGGTTCTCCCAGATTAGAGTCCGTGTACATAACCACTACACCAAACTGGCTCTCATAGTTCAGGTGGCACATGAGAGGAGCCCATGAGGTACTGCCTGCAAATCTGCAAGGGGTGCTCATTTATTGAGTTATTTATTTTTGTTTGTTTGTTTATGCTTCATCTTTCTGTCCTCATCAGGGCCACCAAACATATTAAAAATATACATAATAAAAACATGTTTTAAAACCATTAAAACCAGAGCTAAAATATGCATGCAAAAACGATAATATAATGAAAACACAGGGCAGGAAGGAGGGTCGCTGAATCGGAATCGGCCTGAGAGAAAGAAAAAACAAAAAAGTCTTCACTCACTGGCAGAAGATAACAACAGAAGGGGGCAGATGAGTTTAGAAGCAGCTGTCTCCATCACAGGAGGAATCTTGGTGTGGAACCTCCCAAAACACGCTGTGTTGGGCCCTGCTTCATGTAGCTGGTCTACCTGCTCCATATCATGATACCCACTCCATAGCTGCGTTCTAGAAGGGCCTGCAGACTCAACAAGGTTGGGGACTTGGGCCCTGCTTCATGTAGCTGGTCTACCAGCTCCATATCATGATGCCCACTTCATAGCTGAGTTCTAGAAGGGCCTGCAGGCTCAACAAGGTTGGGGATCTCTGATTTATAGGAATGGGATTTATTGCTTGTGAGCGTCACATCCAACACACTCACGTTCTCTTAGGGCTGATTCACAGGATGCAAAGGAGGCCCTATAAGACTGTTTTCTTTGCCAGGAATTTTAATGGAGAGTGAGTTGCAGGTGTTTTATTAGACTTGGGGGTGAACTGGGGTTTTATTGTTTACTGAATGTTTTAAATTCTGTATTGTGAGATGCCTTGAGCCACAGGGAAAGCTGGGGTCTATATAAATACACAGTACTCCTGGTTGCCCCAAGGACTTTGTATCACACATGCACTGCAGGTTTCATTGGGGCTCTGTTGTGATTATAACCACAGCAGCCCTGGAGAAGGGGCTTCAGCCTCCATCCTGTGCCATTTCTCCACCCTGAGATGGCCCAGGGGGCCTGCTGTTTGCTCCATTTGGAAACTTTCATCTTGACATGCAAGTTTCCCAAAGGAGCAACTATTAACTCCCTGGTTCATTTCAACTGGGACAATGGCATGGGAGTAAGATTGAAGCCCCTTCATGAATGCCGCAGTTACCAATGGAATATGGCTCCCATGCCCTTGGGAGGAATGGAGCTCCTCATGCATATGGAGATAAGTAAGTGTGTGAATCGGCCCTCAGTGGCTGCATTAGGCCACTACAATAGTGACATGCAAGTTTCCCAAAGGAGCAACTATTAACTCCCTGGTTCATTTCAACTGGGACAATGGCATGGGAGTAAGATTGAAGCCCCTTCATGAATGCCGCAGTTACCAATGGAATATGGCTCCCATGCCCTTGGGAGGAATGTAGCTCCTCGTGCATATGGAGATAAATAAGCGTGTGAATTGGCCCTCAGTGGCAGCATTAGCCCACTACAATAACAAGACTGCATTCTGGGCACCTCCCTTCCCCGACCACATGCTCTCTGCCTCCCTCAGGTGGCTCAGTCTGATTTCCTAAAATATGGAACCCTCTCCACAGAGAGGCTGAGCAGCACTATAGGAGGGGACTGGCTAGCCACTGAGCAGAGGGACAAGGCTGTCTGTGTGAATTGCTTCCTCTGGCGAGTTTCATGGGGTCAATAGCCCTCTGCGAGGTCAAACTTTGATTCAGACTAATAGAGAGATCCAGTTCTGATGGGCTGTGGGAGGAGGAGGGGGACCAGGGCAGAAAGCACAGTTCCCTTTCTGTCTCTGCTGCAGCAGGAAGTAACTGGCCTATTTTGTCTCCAAAGGCGGCCATCTGCTGACGATGACACCTCTTCAGAGCTGCAGCGGATTGCTGCCTTGGATGAGGACGGCCGGCAATCCCACGCTGCCCATTGTGGGAAAAAGGGCCTTGGCAGGTACTTGTGGGGCTGTAGCTGTGTGTTGCTTGGAGGGTATGTACTGTATGAGCAAGGTAAAGAAGCAACTTCTGGAGCCTTCACAGTCAGAACGCAGTTTCAGATGGGATTGCCACCATGTGGGATGTTTGATGGAGCTGAAAAATCTTTCCTGTGGCCTAATGTGAGGGGGGGGGGGGGTGTCTGAAGGTGATCAGGACACTCCTCTATTTTTAGGCCTGTCCTCTGAAATGTCCAGGTTCTGCTTCTGTCCAGAAAAACTGGCAGAAGTAGGATGTTGTTTTTCCCGACTGAAGAAGCTTTTTGCAAACATTTGAATGACAGGCTGTCAGTCTATGTGCTGAGCTTTGCCCGCTGCCCCAGACAGAGATGGCAGTATGGTGCGTTGTATTCCCTTTTAAATTATAGTAAGTATGTGTAAATTTGCATCTTTGAATGTAAATCAGTGTATGAAAATTTAATCCTCTTTTCTTCCCTCTTTTTGAGTGCTCTTGTCCTTTATTTATTTACTTGATTTGATTTATATACCGCCCTCCCCGTAATCAGGTTCAGGGCAGTTTACAGCAATTCTTAATATAATACCGTTAAAACAGCCATTAAAAGCAATTTAAAACAATAAATCCTAAAATACTGTGCAACAGTTAGTTGCAGCTTATCTGAAATTCAGCAGTACCCCTGATATTAGGATCCAGGCCACTGGAGGGGGGATAGCCAGGGAAGAAGAGGGACGCCCACCGCCTCAACCAAAAGCCCGGTGGAAGAGCTCGGTCTTACAGGCCCTGCAGAGCATCTCTGTTGGTCATCCATAGATGTCCACCCTAGTCTTGTTGGAAGTAGTCAGGAGGGGGACCTCTAACCCAGAGCAGTCCCCGAGGCTGCCCAAGTGGTTTTTGTCAACACTTCCGTGCTGCAGAATGACTATGTGTTCTTTCCTCGTCTTCCTGACTGTTTCTTTCTTCCCCTGCTCCTTTCCAGGATAGCCCGGCTGGTGGTGGTGCTCAGGGAATGGGCCAACAAAGGTCGGCGAGCAGAACAGGAGCGCGTGGATTCTTTCCTTGAACGCTTTCGTGGGCCGGATGTGCAGACCTTGACTACAGCCACTAGTAGTAAAGAAAGCCAAGATAAAGAGGGTGGCAAAAAGAAGTAAGATTTCTTCTTTGCGCCCATCTGGCTGGAGCAACGTTCAACACAAGCCCAAGCAGAGTTGCTCTATTCTAGGCCTATTGAATTCAATAGTCTAAGGAGACTGTGACTCTGCTTAGGACTGCACTGATTATTTGCTAGCTCTGCAGAAGCCCAGACTCCCTGCCAGGCTCCCTGTTGCAAGGATGTTTGCCACCCACTCCTTTTGTCTGTTCATACCTGGAGAGGGAATGATAAACCAGCTTCTCTTCCTCTGTATAATTAAAGGGCAGGACTTGCTGATGAGCCTGCACCAAGGTAATTTGAGCATGAAGAAAGGGTTGTTTTCTGCAGAAGGGAGGCCAAGGACGTGCACCTTTGGTATTAATAGCTGCAGTATGAAAATGGGGTCTTCCCTGTCAGGTGAAGAGGATCTTGTTAATTACCAATTCCAGAGGCGCATCCCCCTTGGTCTGTTGCGGCAGAAACCAAAAGGAACCTTGCGGCACCTTATGGACTTGAGGCGCATCCCCCTTGGTCTGTTGCGGCACCTTATGGACTGGCAGCTGTATTGTAGCTGGTGGGCTTCAGCCTACCCAAGCTTATGTTCCAGCAGATTGGTCAGTTTGTCTTTAGAGTGGTGCAAAAGAGCAAGGAAGGGGGAGGAGCCCTTATGCAGAGTGGGCTGCTGGAGCCCAGGCAGACCTTGGTGACAGGAGTCATGGTGTCCTTGCAGCCGCTGTACTGCCTCAGTTGGCAGTTGCTGCAGCAGAGACTGGTGGGGCCATGAAGGTCAAATTTATTTATTTTTGTCCCATTCAAAATAACACAAGACTGACTGCCATACTGTGAAAGGGTTTGGGGACTGTCACAAGGCCTTTCACCTAGAACTGAAAACTTTACAGTAGCCTGGCAGCCTGTAGTGCCCTCTGGGGGCAGGGGAACATCATGCCCAGAGTCCATGGGGACTTTGAGATCACAAACCCAGTCACTGTTTCCTGATGCAGTTGCTTTATTTATCAATCCAGACCCCTGGAGGTGTGGTTCACTTCAGCTACCTTAGGGTTTTGCTGCATTACACAGGAGAAGAGCCACAATGCTGCAACCTGCCTCCTACTTCTGCCTTCTTCTCCTGCCAGCCTCTTCCCGGCTCCCCCTTCCTCCCTTTTTATAGCCCCCACTTCACAGCTGGCCCTTGAATTAAGCTCCACCCTCATCTGTTTCCTGCCTTGCCTCAAAACACCTGGGCCCAGAGAGCCATTGTTCTTCCACCCAGGCTTGCTCACTGGTCCAGACTGCAAAGACTACCCTGTCGCCGAGGCTACTGCACCTTTCTGCCCCTGGTCCCATCCTGCTCCACCCAGGTGACTCTTGCTGCTGCGCCGCAAGGGCCTGTCTTGCCCTGCCAGGCATTTTGTTCCTGGGTAGCCATAGAGATTCCAGCACTTTCCCCTGTCAGCCTGCAAGTAGCGGGCTCATGAGACAAGGAATCAGCATCTCCAGGCTTCCGAAAGCCTTGAACTGCAGATCTTCTTCAGTAGGAAAGCACTGTGACATACGTGAGTGTCGAGCCATTCCCTCTTCCTTCCTGTTTCATTGCTCCCAGCAGGAAAGCACTGTGACATATGCGAGTGTCGAGCCATTCCCTCTTCCTTCCTGTTTCATTGCTCCAAATTAACCCCCTTCTCTGCCACCAGATGGTGAGTAAGTTGATGTCCAAGCTGATATCTGAACAGGGGGCTTTTGGCACCCAGATAATGTTCTTTGCCACCGCTATGCACCTGTGACCATTGATGGGCCTTGTTCTGTAACAGGCTATTTTGACTTTCTTTTCAGGAAGAAAAGGGAGTTGTTTGTAGTGAACCCTTCTGGGGACTGGTACTACCGCTGGCTGATGGTCATTGTAGTGCCTGTTCTGTATAACTGGTGCCTGCTGGTAGCACGGTGAGCTGCAAATGCTGTTGTCTGTGATGTATCTCTTCCCTTCTCTGAAATATTATGTGCCATTAGTGAAACAGGTCTCTGTATTTCCTTTCTTCTGTCCCCTCCCCTCTTGTTCTCTGTGCCTCAGATCCAAGGGTGAAAGTAACTTGCCTGTCTTATTGGCACTGTCTCTCGGAGGCTCAGAGCAGAAGATGGGAAGAATCACTCTGGCTGCTTTCTTACTGGCCTGTACCGGCTTACATTCTCCCTTGCTCAGATCCCGAAACACAGTCACTAATTTGCTGGACCACCAGGAATTTTATCTGTCTGTCACATTTTTATCCTCCCCTTCCTCTAAGGACTCAGGGCAGCATACATGGCTCTTTCCTCTCTCGTTTTTTATCACGATGACACAGGCCAGACACATGTGACTTGTCCAAGGTCACCCAGGTGGCTTCATGGCTGACCAAGGATTTGAACCCAGAACCCCCCAACCAGCCTAAATCCAACACTCTAACTATTATGTTCTCCTAGCAGCTTATAGCGTGTGTGGACCTACTGCTGCAGAACTTCCCAAAGATACACTGTCAGTGCTCTAGCAGATCTGGAAAATGTCACCAAAAGGTCCCCTTATTTTGAAAGCATCTCTTCAATGACTATGGATGGGCACAAACCAGCTCACGTGATGGATTTTGGCCAGTTCATGCTTCACAAAGTTAAGTTTGTGGCAGGTCAAGCAGCACAAACTTTCCACAAACTTTCAAGCTGTTCATGGAGGTTCATGCTGGTTTGTGAGCGGAGACATTTCCAGACAGATTTTCTCTGCTCAATCGAAATGTTTACAGAACTTCAAAGTAACAACTTGGAGGGCATGTAGAGGAGCACCATGGGGAGGTCCCCTGTGGCTTTGACGTCTCCAGCTTGCACAGGATTTGTTCTATACACTCCTGAACCTAGGTCATTTTGAAAGGTACAGGTTTAGGAGTGTATAGAATGGATCCTGTGCAAGCTAGAGACACCAAACTCATAGCAGACCTCCCCCAGATGGTCCTCTACACACCCTCCAAGCTTGCACAGGATCCATTCTATACACTCCTGAACCTTCTGAATGTATGCCTGTCAAAATGATCACAGTGGTCATTTTGTCAGGTGCAGGTTCAGGAGTGTATAGAATGGACTCTGTGCAAGCTAGATAAGGGATCTTAGGCTGACTCTCCCCTACCTGCCCTCCAGATTTGGTGAGGATTAGATTTACAGGGTCCGAGTTACAGCCTCCTAAAAGAAGGCGCCCCCAGGAAAGTGTTTTCTGGGGAAATGACAGGTGATTATTTCCCCAGAAAGCACTTTCCTGGGGGCACCTTTTTTGGGGGGCTGTAACTTGGACCCTGTAAACCCAATCCTCACCAAACCTGGAGGGCAGGTAGAGGAGTTTCAGCTGGAGATTTACTGTGAGTTTGGTGTCTCTAGCACAGTCGCAGGCATTCTACTGCCTCATGAACCTCTCAAGCTGAATCGGTTTGTGAGGTGGTTAAAAGTTTGTGATGGTTCATGGTTTGTGAACAGGGCACACCATGAACCACAAACTGAACCACATTTTTTTGGTTCATGCCCATCCTTATCAATGACTTCCCCCTTTACCTTAGGGCCCAGCCTGTGAATCTGGCTGCTGCCCCAAGCTCTCATCTGTGACCATCTTCATCTTCTGCTGCCCAGTGGAAAGCATTGTTCGGTCCTTCCTCAAACAACACACAGAGACCTGGCAGGTATTGTCAGCAGGGCTCTTTTTTTAGCAGGAACTCCTTTGCATATTAGGTGACACACCCCTAATGTAGCCAATCCTCCAATAGCTTACAGAGCTCTTCTCACAGGGGCTACTGTAAACTCTTGGAGGATTGGCTACATTAGGGGTGTGTCGCCTAATATGCTACAAAAAGAGCCCTGATTGTCAGTGTGGTCTCAACACTTCCATGACCGGTGTGCAGCCCACCCACTGCTCCAGTGTTGCCACCTTGAATAAAGTCACAGCATATCATGCTCTAGACCTGAGCCACAGGTTCACAAATCATTTGTTAAAGTGTGGAAGGGCTGTGTTGTTGCACCTTTCCCTTAAATGCCCACCTTTGAAGTGAAAAATCTAAAGTTTTGCTGCAAAAATTGCTGTTGGGCTTGTTTAAAACCTAAAGCTATGCAAAGACCTATTACTAGGACAATCCAAAATAGCACAACACAGAGTGCAAGCTGTTGTGTTCTCCAGAACGTTTGATCAATTCGGATGTTAATAAACAGTGTGTGTGTGTGTGTGTATGCTCCATGTGTCACTTGCTTCCTTTATAGACATTGACATGAGAGTGTGCCTCTGCACCCCATTCCTTGCAATGCAATATACATTTGGACATCTATAAGTGCAACAGGATCAGAGCAAGGGAGTGTTAGCCCAGTTTCCTTGGTAAAGGGAGGCACATTTCCTCTGACATTTGTCCCCTTGTGAACAGTACTGCACCCTTTCACAAACAGTCCAGACTCCCCCAGCAAATGAGGGCAAAGATATTTATCCGTGCCACCCCTCACCTGGAGACTCAGCACTAGTCTCTACTGCCCCTCAGCCAGATCAGGCATGATCCCTGCTGCCAGTAATGCATCAGCATTGGCCTTCATCCTTCTGAGCTTCTCCATTTGATCTTCCTGCAGAGCCTGTTTTAGTGAGCTCCACCAGCGGTACTTGATCCTTTGGCTGGTTCTGGACTATGTCTCCGATGTCATCTATCTCATGGACATTATCATCCGGCTGCGCACAGGTGAGTGTGTTTAGGCATCTGGCTTGGGAAAGCATCAGCCCGCAGATGTGCCTTAACATTGCCAGCCGCATCAGCTGTGTTTAAGCAATACTCTCTCTTGCTCCTCTCAGTCCTTAAGAGGTCTTGAGAAAGATATCCTTGTTAACAGACATTCTGACAAATAGCTTCCCAGTGAAAGATTTATCAACCTCAACTTTGAACATCCCCCCCCCCCAAACAGGCATTAGCATTCAGGAATCGTTAAGGCCTCTGACGTGATATCTTGTTGAATTAATGAATGAACTAAAGGGAGAAATATAGATTTCAGTGATCTCAGAATATCTGGGGCTGTAGCATCGTTTCAGCAATCCCCTCCCTGCTCTGCTAATTCACTGCTGTGAAGATGGAAAATCTAGGTGGGTGGGTGGGTTGTATCTTGATGTAGCCATCAGAACTAACATCCTCAACTAATATAATTTACACAGCTAGAATCTGGTGAAGGCTACAACTTGTAAAATGTGGTGATTGGGTAGAAATATTTGAGTAACAGTATGGACAGTCACATCACTAGACAAAGGGCTGAGGTTAATACCTTGCTATGCTTTCCCTGGCAGGTTTCCTTGATCAGGGCTTACTTGTCAGAGACCCCAAGAAGCTGGGTGATAAATATGTTGCCACCTTACAATTCAAGCTTGATATCCTCTCCGTCTTACCCACTGATTTCGCATACTTTGCCACGGGCTTAAACCAGCCTGAGGTACGCTTCAACAGGCTGCTGCACTTCTCCCGCATGTTTGAGTTCTTTGACCGGACTGAGACAAGGACCAGCTACCCAAACATCTTTAGGATCAGCAATCTAGTGATGTACATCTTGATCATCATCCACTGGAATGCCTGCATTTATTATGCCATTTCTAAGGCCATTGGCTTTGGAGAAGACACCTGGGTTTATCCAAACATATCGGATCCAGAGTATGGCTATCTGACAAGGGAGTACATCTATTGTCTCTACTGGTCTACCCTGACCTTGACAACCATTGGAGAGACTCCTCCTCCTGTGCGTGACGAAGAATACCTCTTTGTCATCTTTGACTTCCTGATTGGTGTCCTCATCTTTGCTACGATCGTGGGAAACGTGGGCTCCATGATCTCCAACATGAATGCGACCCGAGCAGAGTTCCAGGCCAAGATCGATGCTGTCAAGCACTATATGCAGTTCCGCAAAGTAAGCAAGGATATGGAGGCCAAGGTCATTAGGTGGTTTGACTATCTCTGGACCAATAAGAAAACTGTGGATGAATGGGAAGTGCTCAGCAACCTGCCTGACAAACTGCGAGCAGAGATAGCCATCAATGTCCACCTGGAGACTCTGAAGAAAGTGAGGATATTCCAGGACTGTGAGGCTGGGCTCTTGGTAGAGCTCGTGCTCAAGCTCCGCCCTCAGGTTTTCAGCCCGGGTGATTATATTTGCCGGAAAGGGGACATTGGTAAAGAGATGTATATAATCAAAGAAGGGAAGCTGGCTGTGGTGGCCGATGATGGCATGACTCAGTATGCTTTGCTAACCCCAGGGTGCTGCTTTGGTGAGATCAGCATCCTCAACATCAAAGGGAGCAAGATGGGGAACAGGCGGACAGCAAACATACGCAGCCTTGGCTACTCTGACCTCTTCTGCCTGTCGAAGGAGGACCTCATGGAAGCAGTGACTGAGTACCCCGATGCCAAGAAAGTCCTGGAGGAACGTGGCCGTGAGATTCTGATCAAAGAAGGGCTGTTGGACGAAACAGGTGCTTCTGAAAGCATGGATGGGAATGTGGGACATAAGCTGGACAGGCTGGAGACAAGCCTGGAGACACTGCACACCCGCTTCTCCCGGCTCTTGACTGATTATGATGCAGCCCAGATGAAGCTCAAACAGCGCATAACCTTCTTGGAGAACAAACTGAAGAAATACAACCAGGATGACTTTTTCTCTGATGCCTCTGAAACCCCCCTGGAGGATGAAGCGAAAGCCAAACCATGATGCTTCCACACTGGCAGGTTTTGCTTCAGAAAACAGCAGCTTCACACATGCACACACAGACACACTAACCTGAAGGAGACCTTCTCTCCAGATTGCTACTCTGTATATGTCTCCCACCAAGGCCATTCCCAGTGGGGTGTTCTTGATTGCTCTCCATTAGTTGACTGGCCTTCTTTCTTTTAAGACTTTTTGTCCTCTTTATATGTATTCCCCCCCCCCACGCCCTCCAAAGATATTCCAGATGGAGTCTACCAGAAGGATGTTCATTTGGCACACTCCCACTGAATTAGCAGCAGCTAGCCTTCCAAGATGGGCTCAGCCAAGCACTGCAAGTTCATTCATTTTTGACATCTGCTTATGTAACATAACTCTTCCCCTTTGCAATGCTTGATTCAATATGTTAATGCCAAAATCTGAGAGAAAAGTCCCAAGCCAGACCTTGTCTGTTTAGCACTTCCATATGCAGCCCACCCCGTGGGACTGTCTCTGCTGTTTCCCCTCATGTATGGGTATGGAACCGGAGTGATGGTGTGTGCATGTATGTGGTCGGAGTACGTCACCCTCAGGGCAGAAGTTTACCTGTTTGGGTTAGAATTAGCAGTTTTTGGAACAGACAGAGAGAGAGAGAGAGAGAGAGAGAGAGGAGAGAGACTGAGAGAGAGTCTGCGAGACTGCTTGCCAATAACTGTATTTTTACACTGGTTCTTCAGCCCAGGTTCTTCTGCCTGGCTGAGAAGGTGGCTTAGCAGTGAGCCCTGTCGCTATCTCACTTGCTTTGCCCTTCCCAGCAGGTCTTCTTAGCCATGTTCCTTTCAGCTGCTGATGGTGGTCTCCTTCCACTGCAGCTCAGAGATGCCTGTAGACCTAGCTCATAGCAGAACACAACCGTTTACCAAGACTGTTGCATAATTACAAAGATCACTGCATACTTCAAAGTTGTCCCTGGGAAGTTGTGGAGCTGAACACATTTTTCACACTCTGAAGCAGCACATATCTGAAGAGGAAGTAATCTAGCTACATCCCCCAGCATTGTGTAATTCAGTATAGCTGCTTCTACTTACTCTTTGTGTTTGTGTCATATCTGGGTAGGTAGAGATGCCTGAATGACTACCAGAACAAGAATATTTGGAACCAATATGAAGTTTATGCTCAGCCCCATTGTTTATCTAGAGGCCTTTTGGACTATACCATCCTAGAGTTTGGATTCTAAAACATGAATATTCCTTAATGCAGGCAGCATCTGCTGAAGCCTCCCATCTTCTTAGTGAGGACTTTCTACCCTGCTCCACCCAATCTCCCACCTCTTCCTTGCCCATTGCTCTCTTCTGCCCCCATCTCTGTCCTTGATACACAGGCAAATTGAACCACTTTGATCAAAAGAAGAACCTTTATACAAATACTATTTATTTGCCCGACTTAGATTTACAATTTTGAGGCCCTCCTGGTAATATCCACTGCCTTGCATAAGGCATAAACAGCGTCCTATCCTGACCTGCGTTCTGGGTTTAGCTGTAAAATAAGAAACACTGCAGTCCAAGTACTCTGAAGACTTCCTTGCAGCAGTTTTACTGGGCTTGGCTGGGTTTGCTCAAATAATGGCTGGTACCTTGGGATGCTCAGTTCCTCCTATATAGCAACAGAATAAAAAGAGACTGCTTAGAGTTTGGACCATCATAAATTACAGAAGAAGAGGTAGGCCCTCTCTAGGATAAAAAGAGACTGCTTAGAGTTTGGACCAGGGTATTACCAAGCTGACATCATAAATTACAGAAGAAGAGACAGGCCCTCTCTAGACACCCACTGGACAGCTTGCAGTGGGACTCTGGGTCAGGTTATATGTTATGTTTTTAGCATGCATACAAACATGCATGGATGTTAATCTCATGTGCGCATGTCAAGGGCATCATAATTGGCTATGTTTCCATGCTGAACAAATGCATCTAAAACTGGAAGAACAAATGTGTGAGTGGCTAGTTGGTTTAGCCTCTCTCCCTGTATTTCTCTTCTAGCTGGGCCAAGCAGAGGATCTCTTTGTCTGTGACTTTGGCTCAGGCCCAGCTAATGTTCCAAGAGTATACTTATTTCTAGAACAAATAGCCCTGCAGCACTCTTTGCAGTGCATGTCTCAAGCAATGTTACATCTGTAGTAGCACAGAGTGGCTTTTTTTTTTTTGGCTGGGATCTTCGCTTTGATCTCTGCAGTTAAAGAAAGTGAGCCACAAGGGGGTGCTGTGTACCATGGAACCCTTGAAGGTTGGTCTAGTTCAACCTTCCTGGATGAAATAAACAAGAGAATGAGAAACCACCTAACTGGAGTCGAGCACAAATGGGATATAGCTGGCATTTAGAGTGAGCACCTTCTCTTCTCCCGACACCCCCATCCCTTTGGAGAATCAAACCCATAGAGCCTGGAGGTTTTGTGACCTTTCCTTGTTCACATAGTCTGTGGATTCTTGCATCCATTTCTGATGGTCCACATGCAGCTGACACTTGTGCATTTCTCCAAACAGTGGCCCTGCAGAAATTCTGCAGCCAGCTTTTGAAATTTGCTCAATGCATACTGAGCTGTCCTCCAGACATGCATTTGAATATTCACAAGACTCTTTTTTCATCCATATATAATACCTCCCTTCCTTGCAGTGCTATCAGAATTATTTCCATTGACTTGTTACACAATAGTTACAGATAAGACAAGAGGGGGACCTGTAAGGACTCATGGGCTGGGTTGGTGGTGGCATCCCTTGAGTTTGTAAGCTGCTCTGAGTCTCCAAGTGAAGGGCGGGGTAGAAATCCAATCTCCTCGCCCCATATCTCCTCCTCCTCCTCCTCCTCCTGATGGAGGCAGCCACTGCTGTGGTGTTGGGTTGCTATCCAAAATGCTGCCTGAACTCTCTCTCTTTTTGGTGGGGGAATGAGGTCTATGAATGTACTGACATCCATTCTAATATTTTGCGGAGGAGTTAAGCCCCATTTCTTTACAGATGAGATTGTTTTGCAAACCTGGGGCTTTCCCTGGCACTAATAGAACCCTGAATTATAGCCATGGCTGGTCCAGATATGCATATCTTTTAATCTGCATCAGGGCCAACTGTTAAGTATTAGATGTAAAGATTACTGGAATTCCTTTGTAATTTTATACCTTATGTTGCTTCTGAGCAAGAGTTGGTCTGGGACAAGCATTTTGCTACCCACAGTGTTTCACTCAGAGGTCGATTCAGGGGGGATCGCAGGGGATCGCAGTTCCCCCGGGTGAGGTGTGGGGGGCGGGGCACATGATGAAGCCCCACCCCCTGCTTCCGGCCACCCCGCTTCCGGCCCTCATTCAGCCAGGAGGAGGCAGGAGAAGAGGGAGGGTAAGTTGCTTCCTCCCCGCCTCTCCCCACCCCTGCCTGCCTGGGGCCAGGAAGGGCCTTGGTGGGGCTTCCTCGCACTCCCGCCGACCTTGCAGGTCCACTGCCGGGCCTTATGATGTCAGGGGGTGTGGCATATGCTAATGACTTATGCTAATGAGTTCCCCTAGCTCTTTTTCTATGAAACGACCCCTGGTTTCACTGGAACGTCTACATGGACACTGTACCTGCATGTCATTCCCTGCCCCATCCTATTACAGGATTAGTTCCAAACATACTTTTGGCTCATGAAGAAAGTATTACATTGAAACTGGCCTTTGGGATCTGCAAGAGCCTCCTCGTGGAGGAATTTACCTTGCCGACTAGATAAAACTGGAGGGGTCATTTTGGAGAGGAAAGAGAACTTCACAGGCCAGTAGTGCCTTAGGCACTGTGAAGAGGTCAGAAGATGTTGCAGGCCTGCGACTGAAATTAGGGCCACAAAGAGTCTGCGACACACGGCCACCTTGCCTGAAGCAACTTCTTCGTTACTACTGTTGTGCTTGTTGTGGCTGTTCACTGCTTGGAGCAAATAGAACATCCTCCAAGTTGAAACTCGAACTGTGCTTTTTGCTGATAAGCCCATAATGGGAAGGTTGGCGATGAAATGCGGGATTTCAGGTTTTGTTCATGGTGAATGAGTCAGGTGACCCATTTGCACAGAGGGCTGGTTTTGAAGTTTAAAAAAATTCCAAATGCAAGAACACGGCTCTTTCAGCACTCTGGACAGCGGCTTGAAGAAGCAGCTGGGACGATGTGCCGTTCCAGGAAAATGTGCCCTGAAGCACAGGCACTGGAATGGGCTGAAACAGTGGAGCGGCATCTCATGGTGTATGTGTTCTGCCTTCTGAAAAAATCTGCCACAACCCAACCCATTAACCTACTTGGGAACATTTTAAACCATTACACCAATTACTGTAGAGAAAAAGTCACCAAGGATTCTGAGCAGTTTCTGCCTGATGTCTTATGGTGCCAAGAATTCAGAGTCCCATAACTCTTAAAGAAATTAACACCAGCATTTTGCTCACTAAAATCAAAAGGTTATTCCTTTGGAGTAAAAGGATTTCACAGATCCAGTATTCACTGGACTTGTGGATTTGTGCTAATGCAGGACATGATCTACATGTAGGAACAGTATTGTTCTGGGGGGCTCTGCTGCCATGGGATGCTGGAGAAATATTTTCTCTCAGTACTTCAGAGGGGAAATTGGATGAGAATCCCTTGGGGTGATGGCGTTTATGTGTCAGGAATCTAATGAAGTGTGAATTAGAGTGACCCCTAACATGGTGCCTGTAGGTGCCACAGGGCTTACCAATGTGTTTCCTGGTGCCCACTTACTCCTTCCCTACAAAGAATCTCTTATCCAAAGCAAAGACCCAACCCTGGTTTTCCGCCACCTCATTGGAACAGGAAGTGCTTCAGAGGAGCACGGGAGGTATCACCTTTTTGCTTGCAGGAAGCATCCATTTGGAGACAACTGGCTCCATCATAGAAGAATGCCTGGCTTGGAATGTCCCGATATTTTGTTACTGGCCACCTGCATGGCAGCCCTGTTGTGATGGATTCTGCCCTTCATGGGCACTCACTGCTTTTCCTCAAAAATCTCAGAGT